GAAATGAAATTTATGAAGAACATTTTTGGAAGAGTTAGTATTAATAAAATTAATCCATATAGAATTCATAAAATGCATTTTGAATGTATTTGATGAAGTAATTTATTTCTATATTAATCAAAGCAATGGAAAATATTTAAAAAATATTTTTTTTTAGTTCCATTACTATAATAAGGACAGAAGTGTCAAAATCTTGAAAAATAATATTTTGACTAAGCCTATTTAGGCTTAAAAATAATTTCGTTGTTTTTTGATAAGCCGTTATAAGAATTTTGTTCCATAAATTATCAACTGATCTATTACAATAAAATGTAAAAGGGGAGACTGGTGATTTGTGGTGATATGTTTGCAGTTTAGCTGATTTGGATGAAAAAATATTGAATTTTTTGTCGGAACTTGAATTTTGTGAATTTTTTTACTGCACTGTAAAAAAAATCGTATCAAATCATGATAAAAAGTATCGGATAATAAAATCCATTTTTACCATAAAGTTTTATGGAACATAAAATCTGATATATCGTAATTTTTACAGTTATATTTACTGCAAATTCACTCAATTGCAGTAATTAAATAAATATAACTGTAAAAATTACAGTACAGCATAAAATTTCAGCATAAAATTTTACATACAGCATAAAATTTTACGGTGAGATGGATTTAACATATGCTGAACATAAGGTGCCAGTTTTTTACTGTGAAAGATTTGAAGTCGTGCTAACTAATCATTCCTATTTTATTCAATTTATGGTCTTCAAATGATCAATTAATTAGTACTCTTAGTAAGGGACAGTGGTGACAAGTAAACTTGGTGGTATTTTTCTGATAAATTAAGAATAAATTAAAGAAAAACTGGGAAAAAATGTAGTTAACATTTTTAATATCTTCACAGATTTTGCAACAAAATCGTATATTATGTATAATTAACGTGTTTTGTAATTACTTTAAAAATTCACTATAGCAGGGGAAAAAGTGATATTTTATACATTTAAATTAAACTTTTAGTCATAATATATACAATATTAGTTTAATACTGTATAAAGTGTTATTTGAAGAGTTTTTAAAAAAGAAAAATATCTTTGTTAGAAGCAGTAATTGAATAAAAGATAAAGTCACAAATGATACACTTTCCGGAGTCCGTGTTTAATACAAAATAATAAAATTAAACATTTTTTTAATATCATGTACTTCTTAAAAAGTACCAGCATTTAGAGCGCGAGCATTTTTTATAGTAAAATCCATTTTTACCGGAGCATGTTGCAATACAAAAAATCTGATGTACCAAAATTTTAACAGTTTCCTTTATTTCAAATTTACTTACAATAATATTTTTATTTTATTTTAAATAATGATGATTTAGAAATAAACAATTTTTAAATAAAAATAAAGATGAAGCTTCACGATTAAATTTGATGAAAAAAATCTACTAAAAAAAAGACCTTAATGTATGGGAAATACTTAGAAATAAGTTTATTGGCAGTTAATTTAGTTTAATTCATAGAAGCTGATTACTGAGTTGAAATTTATGAACGAAGTTAGTCTGGATAAGATGGTAAACAGGCAGGAAGTGGAGAATTTACAACTAGTCAACTGACCACGACGCGGAATTCCTTTGGCTTTTAAGTTCGGAGGACTTGTCCTTTCATTTGTTTGTGAGCTCTTTTATTTTATGATAATTGCTTTAGGGTAAGCAGGCAAAAAAGAATTACAATTATCAAACAGTATTCTGAAATAGTTTTAGTCTTACTTACGTAGTGTAGTTAAGTTAAATATCATAAATCAAGCTTAATTGTTGACAGATTTTTTTGCAGAAATTCAAGTGTGACTCAACCTAAAAGCATGCGAATTCATTGATGTTTTTATGGGTTTATAAACCTACATTAGTCTGGTGGGAAGGACTCCATGGTTTTTACCCTTCGCCATTTTAGAGCGATTATCATTTAATAAAGTACGGGGGGGGGGGGGATTNGGGGGGGGGGGGAAATTCTGCTAAAATTACCTTACTGTTTGTAAATGAAATTTCAGATAAAAAAAATTCTGGTTAAAAAAACTGAAATATACGGTATTTAAACCATTCATTTGATAATTTTTCAGTTCGCATATGATAACGATTCACCAGACTTGTTGGTTTTCAAAATTATGGATTTTATTACCATATATTTCGCAAAAAAGTACATAACTATAAAGTAAATTTAGGCGAATAAAAGGTTTTATGAGATGCTCTAAGATATCACGTTCAATTAGCAAATTTTACCACAGTTCTAAATATTTTATCACATATTACGAAACCATATTTTGTTGTTAATTTACCAAAATCTTTACCAAAGCGTTTCGGTTAAAAATACCGAGTTTTTTGGTGCTCCCATAGCATAGAGCCAGAAACAAGGTAAGTGTTAACATATTCTGGTAGTTTTGATCATATATATATATATATATNGTTTAGTTCCCAAGCATGCTTGGAACTCATTTATCGACCCACTGAAGGGATGAAAGGCTGAGCCAACCTTGTCCGGCCCAAGAATCGAACCAAGGACCTGTGGCACGACAGCGCTACCGCTCAGCCACCGGGCGTCTTTTATCACATATTACGGAACCATATTTTGCTGTTAATTTACCGAAATCATTACCAAAGCATTTCGGTAAAGAATACCGAGCTCTTTGGTGTTCTCATGGCATAGAGCCAGAAACACGGTAAATGTTAACATATTCTAGTAGTTTTGATCATATTTTTTATTTGAGTGTGCTCATGGTTAGTTCGTTACTGGCAACCGTTACTGAAAATGATTCTTGATACAGCGAGTTAATAAAGGAATAATAAAATGCAGGAAGAAAAAAAAGAGAATCAATGAATCAGTGAATTATCGTGATTAAGAATCAGTGAATGGGCTAACCAATGAATCACTTTTTAAAGAAATTAAAAAAATATATATGAGCTCATAGTATGCTACAGTAGTAGACTTGCACAATTTTCAAAGATTGAATACGGAAAAATGCAAGCATAATTGAAACTAAAAGCATGCAAACTAATCTATATATCTGTTTTTATTGGTTTGTAGTCCTATGTTAGTTTGGAAAGAGTGACTTTGGACAAGTTGTGAATTAATTTCCCTTTACCTATCGTCATTCGATAACGATTGACATTGAATACTGTTAACGATTAGCGCACTACTGGCAACCGTTGATTCTATATATATATGGGTGATTCTCACGAAACATGACAATTCGGACCAAAAAATTTCTTCAAATTTAAAGTCTTCAAAATATTATTAAAAAAATTTTTTATATTTCTTTAGCTACACTTATTAATATCTTATAGACAGCAGTGTAGTTTATTGACATTTCCTCAAGAAAAAAAAATAAAATAGAAATTCGCCAAATCTTGAATGCCAGGAAAATGACATATTACCTTAGAAGTTTAACAAACAGTCATTTGAGTTAATAGTAAGTAACTCAACTTGACCCTTTATGTTAGATGGACCACAAATTGCTTAAATTAATTCTTTTTATCCACTGTAGAAAGAAACAAAAAAGTTTTTGTTGTTGATATGAACAGAATAAAATTGTGTATAATAATCAATCATTAAATAAATAAATAACTGTGATTGCATCCAAGCATATTACAATCATACATAAACTTGGTATTAGGTCAATATTTGCTTTCCCTCTTTACAGTATTAGCAGTTAAAAAGAATTTCTGGTAACACTTCAATGTCCTGGCATTCATAAGCCAGGAAAATGACAAATTCGCCATTTTATAGCATATAACTTTACTTTAATTTAATATTTTGTCTGAAGACGTTTATATTCTGCAGAAAGCAACAGTATTTCTTAAAATAACTCAGGTAAATCTATGTAGTTTTTGTTATTAATGATTTCAAGAAGCCAGGAAAATGACAGCATAAAAACCTACTCACCTTGAAAAATTCTTTGAAATAGATTTTGAGCCAGAAAATTGGTTCTTTATTCATGCAACAAGACATGTTCAGATAGGAGGGTATCTAATCAATCTTGTCAGTAATTTT